CAGACTAAGTTAACACAGACTGAAGAGGTCACCAAGACTTTACTGGCGATGAATAAGCCACCGAGTCTTTTTATTGAAGGTTATCTCCTTCCAAGTGGGGGATATACTCCCCTTCCTTGGATCAAGCTTCATTACCTTCCATTCCCAATTTGCTGTAAGGCCCACACGGGCTTATCGTTTCCATGTGAAAAGAATAAAAACGTTGTATTTTTTAAATAAAGTGCTAGACTTCCACTTCAGCAACTATCCGATGACATGCAGAGGGCAATCAACAACAGCCTGACCGGTCAAAGGCTAGGTCGTACTAGCAAACGAAGAATCGCACCTGGATCACTTCCTGTGTTGAATGAATCACGCGGATTGTACGTAATGTGAGACTGTGTTGTCAACAATATGTGTGCCTGGGGGCTATTTCCCTCCATTACATTACCAGGATGAGGAGGAAGTGGAGGAAGAAGAAATGGAGGAAGCAGAAGAGGAGCAGGAGGAGCAGAAGCAGGAGGAAGAGGAAGAAAAGAAGGTGAAAGACGAGTAAGAAAGATGGGGAAATCTAAGAACGAGGAACGAAGGAATGTGTACGAATGGTATATAATACCGACAAGATGAGAGTAAGACACATGTGCAACATCTGGGTATCTTTATTGTAGACGTTTCGCCATCCAGTGGCTTTATCAATACAAATTCCAGGACATAACTTGAAGACAGTAGAACTATGTACAGAAGATGAGGTAATCAGTCCCTCAACCTAGGAGTAGGTGCGAACAGCACCATAGTCGTGCTATGGTGCTGTTCGCACCTACTCCTAGGTTGAGGGACTGATTACCTCATCTTCTGTACATAGTTCTACTGTCTTCAAGTTATGTCCTGGAATTTGTATTGATAAAGCCACTGGATGGCGAAACGTCTACAATAAAGATACCCAGATGTTGCACATGTGTCTTACTCTCAACGAAGGAATGATTGTGGAGGGTACAGGTGTAGGAACAGGTGTAGAGGAAGAGAGAAATCAAATAAAGAATAGCGGGATGGACAAGAGAAGAAGAACGAAAAATAGCAAGTCACAATTTCAAGACAGCAGCCATTAACACCCAATCTACAATTTGCAGAGGAAACTTTAGGCGAGGTCTCGGTTCATCCTGCACCATCATCAAGTTACGATGGAGAAAGGAAAGTAGAGAAAACAGATCAAGTGAAGATGTGGAGAGAAACAAGAAGACTAAGTCAGAGGATAAGATGAGGAGACAGTCAAGTTAGGTCAGAAGAGGTGGCGAGGAGGCCCAGGTCAGGTCAAATCACATTCTTCTTTTCATGTAAAACACTAAACCTATGTGGGATTCCTAGCCAGCTGTTAGTAGTGGCCTGATCTCTGCTCGATCTAAATATCAAAGCATCCGACAATGCACTGGGGAAGGCATGCATTAGCAGAAATTAAACCATTACCAATATTCATGATGGGAATGTTTCTCGACGATTTAACAAGACAACGTCTTGTTAAATCGTATAAACCTTGGTAAAAGATACCGACAAACTGGGTTAAAAAGACAGGTGAGGAAACACTAGGACATATTTATTTGAAAACGTTTCGGTCCTGGGACCTTCAACACTTCTAATACACAAAACTTAAAAATGCCTATATATACTGACATTTTTAACCTCTGTGTTAGAAGTTATCAAGGTCCCAGGACCTAAACGTTTTCTAATATGTCTTAGTGTTTGCTCACGTATCTTTTTAAACTAGTATGGTTTTGCTCTAACGTAACAGAACACAGCATTGTTATTGTTAGTAAACATTTAACCCGTGTTCTGTAAGTCAGTCAAAAACCGGAGCTGACAGTTTCACCAATGTATCAGGGGGCGCAAAAGAAGCAGGAAATAAAACAGACACCTAAATCATAGCATCAGTGGTACGAGAAATATAAACCAGATTACTATGAGTGTATCAGAGTAATGAAATACAGGTTTGATATTTAAAGGAAATAGAGCGTTATTACGATTTTGTAAATCAGAAATATAGGGAAGGTGTGGCTTGCATCGAGTATGTTACATTTTTACTCGACGCTCGTCAGACAACCATTTTGTATGCCCTCTCGACCAATGAACTGGCAATTCAACGTGTAGTAGGTCTGGTGCCCCACTGTTCCCCGTACTGTCCATTCAAGCCACCAATCATGTGAAAGCCGGCTACTCCAGCCAAGGTGTCGTTACACCTGTCCACCTGGCTGGGTGGCAGACTTCTGCAGACACTGGCGCAGCAAAATGCATACAGCTATGCGGGTACCTTCAGCAAATTCAACTTCAACAACAAGAACATCAACCGAGACCAGGTAACCTATGTCCTACACGAAACATATTGGGAAGATATCTTAAATAACACGAACCCTAACCAGTGTCTTGAAAAGATCAACTTTCTGGTAGCTGAAGTATGTTCAAGGCATATTCCCCTAAGAAAAAAGAAGAGAAGTAAACTAGAGATGCTCTCTCTACAGGAGAAGGCGAAGAATCACGGAGCTCCTCAAGAATGCCAGATTATCTGAAACACGGGAGGGAGCGTTACCCAGGGAAGTGGGAAATAATGACCTTAAGTTAAGTAAGTAAGTAAGTTACATAGAAT